GGCGCTCACAACTGAAATTCTTTCGATAATGTATATGTACAATATATTACAATAATTTTTATTATTAGGTTATAATATTTTTGTGTATTCTTAAAAGTCAAAATTCTGTGAAAAAAAATATTTTATTTTTTCCACTTCTCCAATTAATATGATTAATGATACCCAATGTTATTTACATTTATATCTAACAAAGTTTGTATAAATAAATTGCTTTTAATTATAATATGTTTGTTTATATATTTGTTAAAAAATCACATAATAAATTAAAAAATTTTGTTATGTATTTAACATTTTTGTTATAACATTTAAGATATTTTGAAACAACACCAATATAACGTTGGAAGATTAATAAAAAATAATAAATTAAGCTTTTTTGACGGCAATTCATGTCTGGAAATGTCATTTTTCGCAAAATGATAATCCGAATTATATATTAAAAGCATTTTTGATACAATTTAATTGTCTTGAAATCGATTTTACAAATATTTCTGATATAATTTTATTATCATTTTGCAAAGAAACATTATATTTCTGAATATAAGTTTTGGTTTCAAAAATATTAAATTTATTATTATATATCAAATAATAAATGCTACATATGTTAACAACATGATAACAAGATGTGCTCTACCATTCTATGCATACTGTTGCTGCGCAACAAAATATTTTGAAATAACACAACACACATTTATATGAAAGTTAATAGAGAATATTTTATTAACTTTTATATAAATGGTGTTGTTATTTCAAAATATTTACAGTGCGCAGCACCAGCGTGCACAGAATTGTATAGCATATTTTATTATCATGTTGTCAACATATGTAGCATTTATTACTTGACATATATTGTCGACTTGTTGCTATTAACATGCTATTAATTGCCGATGATATACATGATAACAAATTGTCTTAATTGCCGTCAATTTGTAGTCAATATGTTGATAATCACGGATGACAAGGTGACAACACAATTTGTAGTCAAGTTGTTGTCACGAATCATTTCTTTGCGAATATCAAATTAATGCTGACATGTTGCAATCAATTTGCTGTTATTAGCACATGAATTCATGTGAGTTCAATGTAACAGACATAATGCTGTCTCACCTTGTGTCTAGTTTGTTAAAATTAACAAAAAGTAATAAAGTTCTCTGTAAATTCAAAATTAAAGTGATTAATTAGGCGTAGAGAGCTAAAGATCGAAATAAATAATGTAGATTAGTTAATCAAAATATATATTAATAATTCATAATACAAGCTCAAAACAAAACTGATATAATATATATAGATATTAAAGATGTGTGCGGACGTTTCGACTTACTTTTAAGTCATCTTCAGCGCAAATTTTGTAACGAAGATAGAGCATTTTATAAAAAAAGTTCGCAGAGAAGGAAAGCAGTAAAATTAAATGCAGAAAGAATATAAACTAGTACTAACCTTAAAGGAGATACAACTCCAAACGCAACGGTTGTTCATAGTTAATTATAGACAGCTTACTAATCTTAAAGAAGATATAACTCCAAATGCAATGGTTGTTCATAGTTAATTATAGACAACTTACTAATCTTAAAAGAGATACAACTCCAGATGCAACGGTTGTTCATGCTTAATTGTAAACGGCTTCCAATTATTTCCATAAGTGAAACCACTCTCGTTTGGGTTAATTGGCCCAAAGTTGAGTATGGTTCCTTAGAAAATCTGTATAAAAATAAAAATAAAAGTAAATAAACTATAGGAAATTATTCAGCAATGTAAGTATTTTTGGAGGGTCAAATAATGATTGAAAAAAAAAATTAATAATAAGTTTAAAAAAACAATATTAAATAACAGAAAAATAAATAAATAATGAAAAAGAAAAATAATGAGTCAATAGTATAAAACAATGATAGTCATTGGTATAAAAATCAAAAATATATGCGGTCCATTAACAATTAAAGATAATTAAAATAAGAAAATGAAAATAAAAAAATACAAAAAGTAAAATATAATTTTTATAATTAAACTTGTGCGGAATTTAAAAGTTTATATGGACATAAAAATCATTAAGATAAATATAACTTACATTGCCATGAGGAACAAAGTTGAACATGTATGTCGTTAAAAGAATCATCTGATGAACAATTATGTTATGTTTAGATATGTTGATGATATAATCACCGCGTGTCCTTCCAATCTTACTAACCATATACTAACTATTTTTAATTCATTCAACTCTAGATTACAATTCACATTGGAAGTTGAAAATAATAAGTCTCTTAATTTTCTAGAAATTTACTATTATATCAGAAATTTACTATTATATCAGATGATAATAAACTATATTTTGATTGGTATCATAAACTTATTCCAGTAGATATTTAAATTTTCTATCACAACATCCTGATTGCCAAAAAAGAGGCACAATAATTAGTTTTATTGACAGAGCCTTTATATTGTCGCATCCGATTTTTCATCGAAAAAATATTATGCTCATTATTGAGATCCTACAATGGTTACCCATTAAAATTTATATTTGACACGATTAACCATAGATTCTACTTTTTGACACGTACATCTACATCTAACACCATAATTGAAAAAGAGGCTTCATCATATTTCACGGTTCCATTTCCTTCATTAACTGATAATTTAAGATATACATTTTTAAAGACACGAATACTAGGTTGTCATACTATAGTCTTAATAAACTCAACACAATTATTAGGGCGCATAAAGACGTCATCCCGAAAGTTTCGAACAAGAATGTCGTCTACAAAATTGAATGCGGGAATTGCGACGCATCCTATGTCGGACAGACAGGCAGAAAGTTAATTACAAGAATAAACGAACATAAGAAACATATCGATAGAGTTACAACTAATAAGTCTGTTATTACCGAACATAGGTTGAATTTTGATCATGAATTCAAATGGGATGACGTCAAGATATTAGATAAAGAATCCTTTTATAACAAAAGGTTAATTTCTGAAATGCTATGCATTAAACGACAACATAACGGTTTAAATTTACAAACTGATACAGAATTTTTTCCTGACATTTACAACGATATAATAAATAAACTTCCTAATGTCTGAGGATCATACACAGAAATCTATACGACTAACTGTACGTTATTTTCGTCATTTATATTCTTGCCTTCGTAAGAAAAAGTGATACAGAAAAATTTTTTAAAAATGTTAACATAATTGTTCATCAGATGATTCTTTTAACGATATACATGTTCAACTTTGTTCCTCATGGCAATGTAAGTTATATTTATCTTAATGATTTTTATGTCCATATAAACTTTTAAATTCCGCACAAGTTTAATTATAAAAATTATATTTTACTTTTTGTATTTTTTTATTTTCATTTTCTTATTTTAATTATCTAACTGTTAATGGACCGCATATATTTTTGATTTTTATACCAATAACTATCATTGTTTTATACTATTGACTCATTATTTTTCTTTTTCATTATTTATTTATTTTTCTGTTATTTAATATTGTTTTTTTAAACCTATTAATTTTTTTTTCAATCATTATTTGACCCTCTAAAAACACTTACATTGCTGAATAATTTCCTATAGTTTATTTACTTTTATTTTTATTTTTATACAGATTTTCTAAGGAACCATATTCAACTTTGGGCCAATTAATCCAAACGAGAGTGGTTTCACTTATGGAAATAATTGGAAGCCGTTTACAATTAACCATTGCATCACAAACAACCGTTGCATCTGGAGTTGTATCTCCTTTAAGATTAGTAAGCTGTCTACAATTAACTATGAACAACCGTTGCGTTTGGAGTTGTATCTCCTTTAAGATTAGTACTAGTTTATATTCTTTCTGCATTTAATTTTACTGCTTTCCTTCTCTGCGAACTTTTTTATAAAATGCTCTATCTTCGTTACAAAATTTGCGCTGAAGATGACTTAAAAGTAAGTCGAAATGTCCGCACACATCTTTAATATCTATATATATTATATCGGTTTTGTTTTGAGCTTGTATTATGAATTATTAATATAAATTTTGATTAACTAATCTACATTATTTATTTTGATCTTTAGCTCTCTACGCCTAATTGATCACTTTAATTTTGTTAAAATTAGTTGCTTCAACAATTATTGGCAACATGACAGCAACCTCATTGCATTTGGCTATCTGGGAAATGATCCATAAACTCAAATGTTTTTTGTAATGTATAAAAAATAATGTAAACTATCTTGAAGAGAAATGTTAATTATTTTGAGAACATCATTTTAATGATTTTATCAACAAATTAAAACAATACAACATAAAAAGGGAGTACTTTAGCTTACTCTATAATCATTTTTTGAACATCCCACTAAGTTAAATTAAATTCTCTTTCGAATATTCAAGTAGATTGAAAACGCAAAAATATACAAACAAATTTTATACAAAATATTACTTAGTTGATGTGTGCTTGGAAGTATTGCTAAGTTGAACACGTGTTGTCTAAAATGACGAATGTGTATTCCTCAATATTACACTCAGTATCCTCAATATTACACACCCAGTACTCCTCAATATTAAACACGCAAGTAACAGTTCAAAGATTTCAATCACGTCACTAATTAGCGAATGCTCTTTCCACAAAACACAATCACTGCAAACAATCTCTGCGAACAATCTTCCATATTCTACCATATTCTTCGCATATCTGCCTTTGTCTGGCAATGAGCCAAAACCCATTCGCCAGCTAGCTTGTGCCACCCACGTGATATCATGGCAGCCAATCACTCTCTACAACATCGGCGCAACCACATTACACTACTCATTCATAACCAATCCACGACGAAGTAGCCGCGACGCGCATCTCAATAAGATGATGTAGGCTGTTAATACGTAACTGCGTGTTTATTATATTAAGAAATATATAAAGAAAATTTATTATATTGAATTATATTGAGAAAACATTGTGTTTCGTAATTTTTAACGACAAAATCGTAATCCATGTTTGTGATTGTATTTTGTTTGTGCTTCTCTTATTATGAAATAATGAGGAGATATCACAATTATCTTGAAAATAAATTTCAAGAAGTCTCAAGATCGAATCAATACAGAAAAAATCGTATAAGATGTGAATCAAATAATCAAAGCAGTGATAATAATGTCGAAGATGCTCAATGGCGGGTGAGCATTAGAAAGTTACATTGGTAAAAATATATATAAATTATGAATTTATGTTGCAAGTATGATATATATATATATATATTTATTTATTTATTTATTTATTTATTTCATTTAGGATTACTGTAATCGTCAATCATCTAATGATAGCGACAACACAGATTCTGATAGCTTGAGGCAATATAATAGTATTCGTTCATCACCCTTCAATGAAGCATTGCTAGCAGACATTAAAAACAATAAGCAACTTAGTTCTGACTCATTGCATTTAATACAAGATCAGTATATGGATCATATACAAAATAATTGTCATGAATCTTCATCAATACATGCAGATCCATTTATTAAGCGAAATGATGAACAATCATCAATATTAGAACAGTAGTATATAACTTCCCACAGGACACAAAGACGTCTAAAAGACGACTAAAATTGGACATATTTTCATCAAAGACGTCTTTTAGTTAGAGACAATAGTCGACTAAAAGTCAGCTCATGACCCGAATTTAGTCATTAATCTGTCAAGCCAAAAAATGACTAAAAGATGACTAAAAAACGACTAAATCATATCATAATTTTTAAACGAAACATATATATTTCAATCCCTAAATAATAATATAATTTATCTATTTCATATAAAATTTTATATAAAAATTTTGTATAAAAATTTTATTTATAATTTATACTTGCATATTGCACTTTACATCTTAAATAGATAATGAAAAATTATTTTCGTTTATTCGTCGGACATTTACTTGTCCGACTTATAAAATCAATTTAATATCTGAAACCCGTGCTTTAGATCAGAAATTAAATTGAACAATACATTTTTAATCTTATTTGTTATCTTTTGCAAACTTTATATGATATTGCAAACTTTATTCTCATAACTGAAACTAAAATACGAGAAAAAAGATGGCGCATCGCTCGTCGCGGTAAACGAACGAACTAATACATGCTTGCGTGCTTGCGAGAAACTTTGACCTCCAAGACCGGACATCCAAATTGTGGACGTCCAAATATTGACTATTAACGAATGTCTTAAATCGGATGTATGATGGATGTTTATTTTATGTCCATGGACGTGCGGTCGTAAAATGAACATAAAATGAATGTCCATAGAATGTCCTATGTTATCTGGGTTTGGACGTACAAATTCTAGACTTTAAAAGGTCGACGAAAGGACGTCTTGTTTTAGTCATCTTTTCGACATGACGAAAAGACATCTATAAGACGTCTTTTGCGCCATGTCCAAACGACTTAGAAAAGACATCTTTTCGTCGTCTTTTAGTATTTTATGCCCTGTGGGTTTTTATACTAAAAAATTACTTTTTTATTTGGAATCTTTTTAAATATTTGATACGCATACAAATTTTTGTTATGAAAGTTTTATTGGACACTCATGGCAGTATGAGAGTTGTGATTAATTTATAAAACTTTTTATTATTAAAATTTACTATTTTTATGAAATGTATTGATAATTAACAAAATACGCAAAGTAGTTATTATGTTTTTCAATTTAATTCGCTTATGAATGATATTAAACAAAGTTTTTATTCTAAAGTTTTTCTAAATATTTTATTGGTTATTTTTAAATTATAACTTTTCTATTCGTCAATATAGGGCAGTACATTAAAAACTTTATATACACTAAGAACATGGTACTTTTTAAAATATAAAATTTGTTTTATGCAGACAGTAGATGTATCCCAAACTTCAATAAATAATAGGAATCAAATATACAGTTTGACTCTGAACATGAAAATTTTCATGTAAGAATATATTTTTTAACTTCATATGATTTACAATATGTATGTAATTTATACATGACAATAACATATCAAATAACTTTTAGCTTCAAAAAATCAATTCATTTTCTTTCACTGTTATTACATTCATTTTATTTATCTCTTCTTCTATATATTATATAAAAATATATAACTGTTGAAATTAATTTTATTTTTCCATCTTTAAAAATCATAAGTATTTTTATAATCAATTCTTAAAACTTTATAATAATAAACGTAATTTATATTTACAGGATTCATGGGTCTACGATGCACATGAAGAATTATTTCAATTTAGTGCAGAAGATGACAGTGACAATGATACTCATGAAGAAGTCAACTTTGAAGAAGTCAATAATGAAAATAATATTGGTTTTAATAAATTAATAAAAATGATGCAAAAAGAAGAGAATAATGAGACTATGAATACTGTAGTAATTGTAAGTAAAGCTGAAATTTTATTTGCAGTTTTGAAATATGGTCACGTATTGTTTATCACAAAGTGCGTTAACCGATTTTTTTTAAATGTTGAACTGTTTCTTTAGTTTTTCTTTGTTGCCTAGTACACGCTATCTTGTCCAAATGTTCAATCCGGAAATAGTCATAGAATATCATGCAGTTTGTTCAAATTGCAAAAAATATGTAGCAAAGTTTGATCGCAAAGATCGTCGCGTTAAATGTCAAGCATGCAATACTGTAATTGCATTAAAAGATACAACATATACTGACTTTTTTGCTATTATAAATATAAATAATGAAATTACAAATTTAATTCAAGACAATCAAAAATACTATGATTATGTAGTTCGCGAAAGAGTACGAAATCATGAAAAATTCGATGATATAATAGACGAAGTATTATACAAAGAATTTGTTGATTCATTGTCAGCAAATGATAAACTTAATTTTGCTACACTTGATGAACAGTGATGGATCGTCGATTTTCGAAAGTTCTAGATTTTCGATTTGGCCGATTCAAGTAATTATTAATGAATTGCTCTTGGATGTAAGAACTTGTAGACTTATAGTGTGCGGTATATGATTCGATAAAGATAAAGCAAATATGAATATTTTTTTAAAGCCGTACATTGTTCATGAACAAATTGTCAAATGATGGTATACGATGTACTATTGCAGATGAAGTACGCACTATTAAAGTATTCACTGTATGTTGCTGCGTAGACTCTGTGGCCCGTGCACCGATGCAGGATATGGTTCAACATGGCCATTTTGGGTGCAATTGGTGTTTACACCCACGGGGGGCATATCATATACTTTCACCTTTTTTGTGGGCATTATATTGCCCACAAGAAAGGTGAAAGTATAAAATATATTTTGTTGAATGAAATACCATCTAAAAGAACTGAAATTGAAACAATCGAGCACATGCGACAAAATCTTACATCTCGAAATCCCATTTATGGTGTAAAAAGACCTTCATGTTTAATTAATTTGCAAGGTTTCAATATTATATCTGGTTTTGTACCAGACAGTATACATTGTCTTTGTTTGGGAATAAGAGAACAATTTTTAGGATATTGGATTGAATCGAACTTGCCATATTCTTTATTCAATAATGATGTTAATAAAATTGATAACTTGTTATTAACAATAAAAGCTCTCAATCAAGTTGCTCGTTTATCTCGCTCCATACGAGATAGAAAATACTGCAAAGCAAGAGAGTGGGAGAATTGGATTTTGTACTACAGTTTACCGATTCTATTATGTTTTCCACATTTAGAAATATGGGCAAAGCATTGGTCATTTCTAGTAGAAGCATTCCATATTTTACTAAAGAAAAGCAATAAGGTCTATTTACACATATCCGTGACGTGTGAGTGCCGTATCAGTGTCGTGTCAGTAACATCCGTAATGTATCAGTGATGATTATTCACATATATCCGTATAGTTTGATCAGTTTGAACTCTGAATAAATTATATATGAGTATTATGAGTATATATCTTTTCATTATTTTCTGCTATTAATTCAGTTATATATGATATATAAAATGATTAATTAATATTCACATCATGTCATATATATTATTTTTTATATATATTTGCATTATATATTTTGTATTATACTTTTCACAATTTTTTTATGTATATATATTCAAGTTTTATTGAATTTAATTTATATTACATATTACGATGTGTTAGAAAGAGAACGAAAACCAAAGGAGAGAGTGAGAGAAAAGTACAGATGGCAGTACTGGTATACTCGCTGACTTCGCGCATGCGTATTTCATTTTATGCTACACAAACTTCAAAGGTGCCGACAGGGAGTTGCGCTACTGTATATACTGTGATATATCCCCCACGTGCTTTTTGTGTCGGTACCGACTCGAGATTGCATTGTTAGGTGCGCCATTTTCTTCGTAGTGTAACTTGTGTTTGAGAATGAATATCGTAGATAAGCATTATGTTGCGTAAAATAGACCAGTAAACAAAATGTAGCAGCGTGCGCGTATCTTTTCTAGAAAACATACAAAGGAAAGACATATTTTACATAATTTTATTGAAGGATACAATAGTTAACAGATGACAAGAAATATACATTTTGGCCTAATGTGAATACAGCACAACGTATCAATTTAATTAAATTTTGTGCTGAAATAAACGTACAATGAGAAAAATACGAAATAGAATTTATATATGGAACAGCAGATTTATAATTATATTATATATATACTTTTTTTTAAAATTATATTATGTACTATTTTTATATTTTATATTTTTTATTTATTTTATATTTTTATGTGTGTTTTCACTTCAGTATATAAATATTTGTACATTTACATTCATGCAAATATTTGTACATTTACATTCATATATTTACTAAGAATTGTCATTTTAATTATTGTGATTATCATCATACATAATTATGTATTAAACAATTCAGAAGCATTTGATGTAAGATTACAATATGTGATCTTACATAAAATACTCCTGGTAAATTATTATATTTCATATATAATCATTTATATAAGCATTTTATGTAAGATAACATATTGTAATCTTATATCTAACGTTTCTGGTAAGTAATTATATTTACTACATAATTATATATGATAATAATCAAAATAATTAAAATAACAATTGTTAGTAACTATATGAAGTAAATATACGTGAATGTAAACGTATAAATATTTATATACTGTGATACATCCCCCACGTGCTTTTTGTGTCGGTACCGGCTCGAGATTGCATTGTTAGGCGCGCCATTTTCTTCGTAGTGTAACTTGTGTTTGAGAATGAATATCGTAGGTAAGCATTATGTTGCGTAAAATAGACCAGTAAACAAAATGTAGCAGCGTGCGCGTATCTTTTCTAGAAAACATACAAAGGAAAGACATATTTTACATAATTTTATTGAAGGATGGCTTGGTTACAGTATAAGTAAAAAACACAAAATATAATTACAAAAAAATACTACAAGATCATTATTTTTGGACAATTACAAAAATTTACTACAAGATCATTATTTTTGGACAATTATAAAAACTGATATTTTTATAATAATATTTATGTAAGTCAATGATCGATGGGTATATTATATGTGATGGGTATATGTTATATATATTTATACGATGGGTAT